CTCTCCCACTTGATTAAAACACGTGAAGAACACGTGATCTATACTTGAAAGTTAATAAATCAACGGAAACGGTAACACTATGAAAAATTATGTGATATATTAAAATTCATATCACAACAATACAATTTTATTTCTGATGAATAATATTAAAATAATTTCTTTTTGTATTGTTAATATTATTTATTATTTTTATTAATAAAGTTATTAGCATATATTTCAAAAGAAAATATCTTGTTTTTCAATAGAACAATGTGAGTTTTAACAACATTCTGATGTTATAAGTAAGTTTTTAGAAGATTTAGTACTAAATTAATATAAATAATATTATAATAAGATAGCTAAACTCAGTCATAATATAAATTTTAGCTAACGAATATGTATTATTTTATTATTATTACTAAAAAATATTGTGAATCTTCTTAATATAAATATATTCTAAGTATACTTTATATTTTTAGTGATGTAATTAAAAATAAGTTAAGTTAAATAAATTAATATAATTATAATAATTAATTAAATTAATTATGTACAAGATATTAATTGTAAAGAAATGTAATTAAATTTTAAGTTTATTGATTTTAATATAATAATTCAAAATAAAAGTATCTTTTTATATTGTTACCGTTTTGAGCTTTTGCGTATGAAAGTATTTCAAAATGGCAATAGTGACTGTGTTCACGGTAATTTACTTTGAATATTATGACTAAATTGTGTTTATGACAATGAATGATGTTTCTTGATAAGATAAAAGTGATGAAGATACTAAACTAATAACAAAACTAAACTAAGAGGTAAACTAAACCAAAAAGTACTTATAATTTCAAAATAAAATCAATTTAACATGTCAAACCTGACATGAAACCAAAAGAAACTCAAAATCAAAACTTAAGAACTTAAAATATGAACTAGAAAACTTAAATCGAACTGAGAGAACTTGATTTTTATTAATTATCAGCACTTGTATTTATACATATTTTCGTATTACAATGGCACAGTATGGCACAGTATGATTTTTATTAATTATCAGCACTTGTATTTATACATATTTTCGTGTTATAATGACACAGTGTGGCACAATAATGCGCAGTATAATGCAGCGTGATGCAGTTGCAGCACAGCATGTGGCACAATAGATCTTCACTATTATTATGAAATTATTGATTCTCTTCTAAATTACACAAAATTTAACTATATCATAATTAATAATCTTGTTCTATATCTAAATACCAATAGCAAAAATAGAAAATAAAGACTAAACTAAAATAGATAATGATGAAATTTGCCAAGAAAATGGCGTGATAAATATGTCCAAATAAAGATAACAATAAGATAAATATAGAAAAATAGATAATACGAGAAAGAAAAAGAAGAAAATAGAAAGAAATAGAAGGGAGTAGAATATTATCAAACCAATTACGTAGTCCAAATATCATTATAACTAATTTTATCATGCCACTTCTTTTGTTCATGTGTTCTTTTGAAATTATAGTCAATTTTGAATCGGTGACAATAGTTAAAAAAGCTGATACATGTATCTTCTATTGTGCCAAAAAATTTGCTATTAGTAGATTATGAAAAAGATCAATTAGAACAAGAAATCAAAATCAAAAATTAATATAAAGAGATCTATTTGAATTTGAGATTATTGAAAGATGACAAAAACAATGTAATAGATATCATAAAACTGATTATAATAGTTGACTATGTTCTAATGTGTGAATTTGTAATTTTGTAAAATTCTTTTTCTTTTGTTTTTAATAAAAATTACATTTTTTAATTTTCATACTGTTATCTATTTTTCTTATTTTCACATTTTTGCTTGCATCAAATTTGTCATAATAATATATTAAAGAGATAAAATTAAAAATATTTTAATTTAAGTGAAATTATAAATAATTATAATAAAGTATATTCTATTATTTTAACATATTATTATGACAAATTTGACACAAACATTTTATTATTTTCTTTATTTATTTCACTTAAATTATTTTATTGTTTTCTTTATTTGTTTAATAATTAAAAATTAATAATTATTGTGAAATTTGTAAAAAGTAATTATGGTATAACTTGTATATAATTGTTGTAAATTACATGAATACGTGATTCTGAATCAAGTGATTTGGAATAATTATTCATTTTAAATCACATGGAGAATATTAATAACAAAAATGGAGATATCAATAATAATTCTCTAAATTAATAGTCAAATTAAATAGATTAATAGAATCAATAAAACTGTAATAACTAATAATTAATAAAAATAATATGATAAAATAATAAAGTAATTGATAATTCATAATATCACCAGATATAAATAAAAGATAATTAAAAATAAATAAATAAGTATTTATAATTAAAAATTAATTAAATATTACTTGAAATCTGATAATATCTCATATTATATGATCAAGAAAATAGTGAATAATAATAATATTGTAAGTCTTTTTTTTATAATTATATTTGTTTATAATCACATTTTTCTAATTATCTTACTTTGCTTTTCTATTTATATATATAAATATAGAAAAAAATTTCTTTATAATTACATTCTTTTTAGTTATCCAATTTATAGAGATTTGACTAATTTAACATTTTATTTAATAAAATTTCTAATAAATAAATGATAATTAATAAAACTATTATTAATCATTAATTTTTCACTTATCATAAAAATTATTTTCGAATTTATGCATTTTGAACAAAAATACATAACGATTATTTTAATAAAAATTATGCAAACAAAAAAGTGATAAAGCTTGCTTAATCTATCATTTAACGGTTTAGTTTGCTAAAATTATCAAATTTGAAAGACTAGATTGCCTTGATGTTATGTACCAGAGTTTACTAACTAGCTCAGAACATACTTTTAGTATTTTATAATCTTTTGTGAAAAATTCAAACGTTTATTGAAATAAATTATTTAGCAATACAATTTTTCTTAACTTATTTTAAGATAATGTCACGCAAGAAATTGTTTTTTAAATGGTAAATCAAGTTCGTAAATATTAAAATTCCTACAATTCGAAAATTAACCATTGTGTTAATGCCTGATAAAAAATTCATTAGAATGCATTATTTACTTACCCAATCAGCGTCAACCTCGAGAGACCACTTGAATTTTTCTCGTAAACTTCTGTTAAAAATTTTTTCGATAGGAACTCCATATTTATAGCACCAAGCAGCGGAGATGCGTGGATCAATGTAGTTAGTTTTTGACGTGCCCAAAGCAGTTTGCTTATTTTCATCTTTGTCTTTTAACGAGAGCTTTGTCGCATCGATCTTTTCATTTATTTTGCTAATTTGATCTTTAAGTTTCTCGACAGTCGTTCCTTTCTTTACTTCGATTTTTTTGCTTTTACGCTCCTCGACGAGCTCTTTTTCCCTTTCATCGATTTCTTGTAATATTGTATTGAGTTCTTTTTCAGTTTTTGGTTTTTGGTTCTCAGCAACAAGTTTCTCATTATCTTTTTCGAATTTTGACCGCGCTTTCTCACGTTCTTTTTCCATCAGAAGTTTTTCATGTCGTATAATCCACTCTTCATCCATGTCGCTTTCTTCTTCGGCGTATTCTGCACGCTTCTTTAATTTAGGATTTAAAGTAAACAACATTTTTTTGAGCTTCATTCGCTGGTATTTAAATGCCCGTATCTGTGTAGACAAAAATGTATTATTATTTTGTCGGAAAAGAAAAGAGATTTTATCTAATTTACCTTATCAACAATCTTTGTCATTTGATTCTCGTGAGCTTTGCTCACTGTACGTTGATGGTTACACAATACAGCGACTTCGCGATTTGCTTTATTATACTTGAATATTTTTTCGTGTATGGTCATTTCTTTGCCTTTGCATTCTTCTTCAAGCTCCTCCATTCCTTTTTGCAATTGTTCTTGGAATGTATGAGAAGCATTGTAAGTACGAAATACTTTGGCAGTAAGACCGGCCATTTGTTTTGACAAATATTTATTAAGGAGAGTAGTCTACAGAAATAATGATAATTTATTATTAATAAGATGAACGTAAAATAGAATTAATTGCTGAAAAGGCAATGAACAACTTACATTCAATCGATCAAATAACAAATCCGAATCTGTCTTGGGTTTCCTTTTAAAAATATTCAAATTCTTCCAGACTTGTTCGTCTACTTCCACATCATTATAATAGCGGATAGAATCTTTTCCAAGAAAGTCAAAAATAACTTGTTTCGGTGGATTAAGTGTCACGTGTTCAAGTCTAAGCGAGCAGCAGCCAACAGTATCGGCTTCATTTTTTTCATCTTTTTCGTTTCCCGCTCGAAGAGCAAAACGATCGATCAGGTACATGGCTGTGGCACGTTGTCGAGTTTCCATAAGTTTATCCTTTAAATCGCGAGTGTACTCTGATCGGATTCGAGCAACGTGTTGCTAGATGTAAGAAATGATTAATTGTGTATATTATTATTACTATTTATCAATAGAATAGGAATCAAAATACCTTGAGCTCACGAGACTTTTCAAATTTCTTGAGATCGCTTTGTCCTTTAAGTGAACTATTCGCAGCAAGAAAAACGTATTTTATTGAATCATTAACATTTTCTTTCCATGTCGCAAGCCAAGTAACGGTGTTGTCATGAATGACGTTTCCCCATGCATGTCCTGAAGGTGGATCAGGTATTTTAGCGTCCTTTCCGATATTAATCGTGACTGATTCGGGAGCTACACGCAGCTATTTAAAGAAGATAATCAATACAAAAATAAGCACAAAAAGATCTTCAAGGTAATTAGTTAATTTACATACTTTGAGTTTGCCTGTTTTTGGGTGTTTACCGCGTCCTCTAAACAAACCTGGTGGTTCGATACGGAAATTTCCAACTTTTTCTTTACGGCCATCCAAAATACAATAAGCATATTGTGATTCGAGTTTAAGTTTTTCTTCCTTTATTTTTTGCTTTTCCTCTTTTGACATAGCCTTCTTTCGTTCTTTTTCTTTTTCAAAATAATCAAATATCGGAGTAAAATCGCAATGCTCATGATCTTTATCATAATCACGAATGGGAGGATTCTGCGAAATTCCATGCAAAAATTTTAGTAAATAAATAACTTTTGGGTCAATTTTCAATTTGTAGAAAAAAATCTTTTGAAAAATTACATTATTCGATTTTTTAAGAATCATAACCCAATCAGCAAAGAAATTTCTGCAAAAAGTTTCGTTTTGTACATGCTCTGAATTTAACATAGCAGCATAAAAGCTTGCCACTTCCTCAGCTTCTGGTTCCAAATAAACTTCTTCGCCTTTGTTTATTAATTTATGAATACAAAATATTTAGTAAATATATCAAAAAAAAATAATGAGGAGTAAATCAATGCTTATACTCAAATTACCTTTGAACTTCATTTTAACACCATGTGGGACATATTCCGGTGGAAATAGAACTCCGTTATGCTCCAAAGTTTGCCATTTCACCGTACCATCTCCTTGAGCATTTTCTTTCCACCATTTGTATTCTTCGTCCTCTTCTTCACTTTGATCATCTGGAGATGATTCCGGTACTTTTTGTTTTCCCTTTTTGGAAGGAGCCTTTCCTGCGCTGGCTTTAGATGTTTTCGATTTGGCAGGTGCCTTTTTACCATTATGGCGAACAGGTTTCTTTTCTTCAGAAGCTTCGGACTCTTCGGACTGTTTGACTTGTTTTTTCCTTTTAGATTGAGGCTTAACTTTTGAGGATGAAGATTTGTTTCCATTTGTCTTTGATATGGTATCTAATTCAGAATCTGATGAAGACTCCGACTCAATCTGACGTTTACGTTTAGTGTCATTTTCTGTAAAACAATTAAAGGTTAAAATTAATGATTGCATATAATAGATAATAAAATAGTCGATTATGAATTACCTTTGACTGGTGTCTTTTGATTTTTCTTACGTTGAGCGAGAGGCACTTCATCAGGAGCATCAGAATCCTTTAATAAAATTAAATAAAAATATTTCTAATTATTGATTTCAATGAAAACTAACAATATATCCTACTTGCCTCTTCAGTTTTCTTTGCCTTTCCTTTGGAATCCTTTAATTTTCTGCGTCGTTGGGCAATAGGAATTTCATCAACGTCTTCTTTTTCTACCTTTATATCATTCATCTCAACATCGTCCTCTTTTTCAGTCTTTACATCATCCATCTCAACAACCTTTTCGATAGCTTCCTCTTTTACCTTTTCATTTTCTCCTTCACCGTTCACTACTTTTTCTTCCTCATCCTCTTCAGAGTCACTAAAAATAACCTATTTTGAATTCCGAAAGATTATATTTGTTTTTATTTGCACTATATATTTGAGATATATGAAAATAGAAAGTTCGATCGTTTACTTTTTTTTTATTACGGGTAGTCTTTTTGCCATTTGTTTGGAACGTTTGAGAAGGCTTGCTATCGCCCTCCGAATCTAATTCTGCCCATTTTCTTTTAGAGCTTTTGCTTTTATTAACGGTCTTTTTATTTACAAAAAAGGCAAGTTAAATAATTATTAAATCCATGAAAATATTTTTCAAACAAGTGTAAATGGTTATTTGAAATATCAATACCTTTGTTTCAGATTTGCTTTTTGTAAGTTTTGAATCATCTAAAAAAAATTGAAGTCATTTTCCAATTGGTTTTCTTTTACATTAAAGTGAAATACCAAAAAATAAAGAATTCAAAATTTACTTTTGACGGTTGTACGTGTATTGGTACGCGTAGAACGCCGCACTTTTTGAAGAGAAGCCTCGTCTTCTGCGTCTGCCATGTTCTCAGAAGAGAGTAACAAATATGTTAAAAAAAATTGCTTGCCAAATAAGTATACCGTTGCAAGTTTTTTGAAAAGCAAGTGCAATAAGAACGTTTAGTTTGTGTGTGTCCTCGGACCTATTTTCACTATTTGTGCATTGGAATCATTTATCAGCCACACAAATCTGGAAAAGGCGGTACGGGAACTTTCGGAGTGGCGGGTGCTACAATGGTGCACTCCTGAAACGTGGTAGCGCAAACCAATAAGAATGCGATTTACCGGTGGCACAGACCAATAAATTTTTTATCAGCCCGGCAACAATCCGCGCAGAAAAATGAAAATGCAAAAATGGATATTCAAATCTAACTTGGGGTACTAATAAAAAATGTTTCTGAGGCAATTTTACATATAATCTTGATCTCCTCCTAAAATCGAATTTACTAATTTCCCCCAAGTTCAGATTGGTTGAGGATATTAAAGGTTAATTTTAGCGTTAGGATTAGAGTGGAGATCAAGGTTGTATGTAAAATTGCTTCCCCGACATTTTTTATTAGTGCTTCAAGGCAGATTTAAGCATTCATTTTCTGTATATTTCATTTTTAATTTTCTTGTGTCGGATTTGTCTTGCCGGATTGATAAAAAATTTATGCATTTTTATTGGTTAATCTAGAAGACCCGGTGTGCAGTCAACCAATCAGCGATGGAAATTACTTGCGTCCAATCAAAACTTGGGGGAAATTAATAAATGCCCTAAAATCAACCTTTAACATTACAGTAGAATTCTCCGGGATCGCCACCAAATTCAAAAGTGTTACAATGGTAAGGTATTACGAAATATATCAAGGAAGACTACTAATTTCCCGCAATTGGTAATTTTGGCCGAAATTAAAAATCTGAATATCCAATATACATCTTCTTTATTATAATAATAAAATAAATGAGCATACTGTAGCCAGACATATAAGCAGATCTGGGGAGTGCAAAACATGCATGCAATCTGAGGTTATGAGCGCGAAACCACTTCAGAAAACAATGGCGAATCATATCCATGTTGACTTTTGAATTTGACATTGGCTATCTATAATCTATATTTTCCCGAACACGACACAATGGAGGTCCGTAATGCACACACGAAAATTGACCTTTATTTGAACAAAAAGAAAAATGGAGTGTGTTAATCAAGGCATCTTTTTTTGTTTGAAATAATACCGTAGGCCTGTAGCAGAACAAGCTCGTCTTCACATAGCAGTCTAAATAAAGTTTCATGATACGACAAAGACCGAAGATTGTCATTAATCAACTAGGCACCCATTTCTTGTTCAATAGCTTGTACAAATTAAATACAAACTTTTTAGATCCACAAACAGAGTTTTCCTCATACAATATCTTTGAATAGTGCCAGCGATTCTAGAAAAACCCAAAAAGCTGGCTTCTGTGGATCGACTTCCTCCCTAAAGGCTCAAATAAGATTATCAAAGTTTAGTAAATATATGCGCACCTTACCAGAAACTTAATCCATTGGTGATCCCAGCTAACTTCACTATGGGATCCACGAGTCGTCCCATGTTCCTTCTGAGCAATAATATTGCACTCCGATAGAGAATCTATAACAAGAAAAGTGTTCGAAGAGATTTAGATTAGGACAAACAAATAAGGAAGCGACAGAAAGGCTATGTTGTATTTTCATCTTTGCTTGTTTGAATAAAACTTATTGAACAACTTTTCAAATGCTGATGATGGTGTTTTAAAATAACAGTCAAGATCGAAGCCTATCCTGCGAATGGGTGAAACGGATGATCATCTCAGGCGCGATTCCGACATTGATAGATTTATCCTTGTAGGAAACAAAATACCAAACGATGTTTACTTATACTTAAACTTTGCTTAATAAAGTTTTTCCCATTCAAGACGAAGCTGGAAAATTCAGCTGTATCGCAGAACTTAACGATTTGAAGTTACAATACATGTGTCAAAAAATGTTAGTAGCTAAAGAGGTATATTGTACGAGGTCCTTAAACTCCTTGTTCCAATGAAATATCAACACATAGCTCACTAATAAATGGAATCAGATAAAAGAGCACGTTGCAAAATAAAATAAACTGCCTAAGTGTCAATTTCTATCTATAGATAGTGAATCCCACACTGAGCGATAGAACAATTTACCTCACACATCATATGCAAGCAACGCCCACCTATATTAATTATCAGCGAAAAAAAGAAATAACAGAAAGATAATTGATTATATTAATACATTTTAGATACCAATTGAAAATATTAGTTTAAATAAAAAGTACTTCACATCAGAAAATTTTTATATTTGATTGTCAAAGTATCTTTTTATTATTATGTTTCAATTGTGATAGCCAATAAATAATTGCAATCTAGATTGCAAGCTAGAGCTATAAAATGATTTTTTAAAATATCTTGTTATTGTTTCAAGTTGTATATTGATTAATTAATTCATAATTATTATATTTATTAATATACTTATATTTGTATTATTGAATATTAACCAAGTTGCTAAAGAATAACAGTACTGTATTACTTTAGGACTGTCACACACTAAGTAAACATACCATTTATTAGTAATAGTAAAAGCCTATCTATTAAATAGAAAAAGATGCATTATGTAATAATCCTGAAATAATATAATTTGATAAAATTAAATACATAAAGTATTAATATTGTTTGAATACTTTTATTACAAAAATATCTATTTAGAAGTTCAACTTGTAATATCATTTTTAATCAAATATATATTAGATCTTAACTCATTTAAATATATTATTACTATTTTCAGAATCTTATATATAGTCAAATTTCTTTATAATCACATCTATTTATAGTTATACCTCTTTATAATCATCCTATTTTGCTTTTCTATTTACATATAAATATAATAAAAAATCTCTTTATAGTCATCAAAGTTTGCTTTTCTGAGTGTGATAACTATAGAGATTTAACTGTAATAGTATTTCTAAAATACAGTGTGAACTATATTCATAAATGAAATGTTAGATGACTGAATTATTTTAAAAAAAATCTTATAATCATTATGAAAATATTATATAAGAGAAGTTAAATGAATATAAGCTTATCAAAAAACTAATAAAACAAAATAAAATAAAATAAAATAAAATAAATATAATAAATATAAAACTTTAATAAAAATAAAATAAATATTATCTTTTATAAATCAACAAGACAAAAGCTAAACAAAAATAAAACTTTAAACAAAAATAAATATAACAAAATTAAATAAAATAAAGACAAAATATCAAAAATAAATATAAACTAAAAAAATATCAAAGACAATATAAATTAAACAAAAATAACAAAACAAAAATAATAATAAATATAACTGAGACAAAAATATAAATAAAATAATAATAAAAGAAAATATCATAATATAATAAAAGTTTTTTGACAAGTCAATATAATTTTTAAAGAGTATAATAAATCACAATTATATTTATTTAATATTATAAAGAAATAATAATATAAAGAATATAATAAATATATTAAATATAATAATTTTAAGCTAAAATAAATATTGTTTATAAATCTATTTCTATTTCTAAAAGAACCAATTAAAATATAACACATTATCATATATTATAAGTAATGTATAATATTATTTTAATTTATCAAATATTATATATTTAAAATTATTAATATATTATAAAATACAAAAATATTATTGATATATCTTTGTTAATATGAAACAAAATTAATATAATACAAAATAAAACTAAGAAAATATAAAGAAAATAATATATATAAGAAAAACTAATAAATCTATAGAAATAGAATACATGCTAAATCTTAATAAAATTAATCTATAAAAAGCATGTACATAATATAAATTTAATTTAAATAAAGAATAAACAAAAATTATTCAATTAAATTTAAATAATATTGTTTTTAAAGACAAAATGATAATAATATATTAAATTATATCAAAAAACTTTTAAATAAACTAAAAATAATGTTTTAACTAGTTGCAACTTGCAATAGTCAATTAGAAAATTACAACAAAATTGTGACAGTTAATTAAAAAATTATAATAGTTACAACTTCTATCACTAAAATAAATAATATAAAAGTTAAATAGTTCAAATTATTAAGTAATAATTGACAGAAATTTTTAAATTTCATAAACTTAAAATAATGAAAAATGTATTTGAGTAAATATATATAACTGTTAATAATTTATAAAATATAATAAAAATAATTATTTTTGTGCTTAATAATTTTTATGGAATATCTAAAAATAAAATATTAATAATAAGTAGTTATATAAAGTATTTTACAAATTTCTTCAAATATATTTGATTATTTATAAGAAATTCTTTATATATCAATTATATAATAAACTTAAAATATATTATATATTATATTATATAATTTCAAAAATAAGTTATTTTTTAGAGTAACTTATTTTTGAAAATATTTAATAATTCTAATACTTTATTATATAGATACTCATTATTAATTGAGATCAAAAATTTATTTATATTTTTGTATATTATATATGATACTATTATATAATGCTAGTTATCCAAATATATGAAATAATAAATAATATAACAACAGAAATCTACAAGATTCTATATAATAATTATATTAAATAATCTTATAAGATATCTAATAAAAAAGATTTTATAAAGCAAATAGTAAAAATAATATATACTTATTTTTATTATTATTATTTATAATTATTAATATTTTAAATAAAATAATAAAAATTAATTAAAAGAAAACTTCTAGATATTGATAACTAATAAAATATAAAAATTTTTTATATATTATTATCATTTTAATTAACTTTTGAAATATTCAAAAATATTTATAATATTCAAAGAAATATTCAAAAAGAATTATAATATTTTAATAATAATTCAAAGTATTAATAATATTTTATAATTATTAGACTGAATATATATTAAGTACTAAAAGTATTAGTAACAAAATTATTTAAAACTTAATAATATTTTGTATTTTTTAATGTAATAATC